TGACAACACACATGAAACTCAGACCAAAATAATTGGTAACAAACAAAATTTTAATGGTTGATATAAATTAATTGTTATCTTTAATAAAATTTTGAGATAATTTCTTTTGAAAACACGTCTAATTGACAATTCAAAAGCAAAGTGAGAGCTTCAGTGGGTGACGTGGTTTGGACTTGGTGGCTGTGTTTGGAGCTGCAATGCAACTCAAAAAATATTGCCATATAGTTGATAGCCCAAATAAATCAATAGGTAACTCAGGTAAATATCATCTGTCTAGCAGAACCACCATAAGTCACATTTCCTTAAGAAAAAAAAACTAACAATCAATATCAAGAGATACCACTTAAATAATCAATATGAAAAACATTCATCACCATAATATTTGACCAATCAAGAACAAACAACACGCAAACATTTGTAAAGGCATGGGCATTAGATTGACAACAAACAATAGTTGTGAGGGTAACTTTGCAATTCCAATGAAAGAATGCACTTTTGTACAACATAAGATAATTTAGAATGCAGGAAGAACACTACCAAGGAAAATTTCTAAATAACTCATGATTCTTTATGCTATTTAGCAGAAAATCAAATAGTTGGTATGCACTTTCAAATTCCAAATTCAATTATTCTACCATAAAAATAGGCTAGCATCACTTCATCAACTCCAAGCAAACAAACATTACTCAATTTCAAAACCAAAACAATCAAATAGACCACTAAAAACTATAAGCACGTTCAATGACACTTAAAAACCAAATGAACAATTATATTTCAAATTATACTCAATCTCAATTGGGTTTGTTGTTCTAGTGTATGCTGAGGTAGTTGTGTTTCTACAAATGGATTGGAATGGTTAGTCGGTGAAGTAATGGTAAAGTTGAATTAGTGACATATTAGCTTATGATGCAACACTTTTAAGTAATGGAAAAACCCAAATTTTTCATCAACATTATTGAGCAATCCAGATGTAGCACAATCCTAATGAGTGTCAGGAGCAACAATATCTTGAAAGTCCATCTGCAATCGATACTCCTACCAGCACACATACAACCTGAAAACTGTGTTATATGAACAACAAACATGTGCATCTTTACATATGGAACAGAATAATGAGGTTGTGCATCCCTGCATTGCGGCAACATATGTATATGTGCATGTGTGAAAAGAATTCCAACCCATTTATAGCCTATAGCAGCAACATTCATGAACAAAAACACAATTCAAACAGTCAAACATGTATATGTTCATTTGTGCATGGGTTTTGGGTATGTAATCAAATAGGACAATCAGGCAAACAATAGCTCTAGTCAATAATGCCACAATTTTCACATTGAGTTGTTATGAGGCTGATAGGAACCAATTAGATTGTTCCTTACAATCCCTTTTTTGCAAAGATAAAGTTGAATAGGTACCTATACATTGCAATTACCTACTCCCACTATTGCAATAAATAAGAGAGAGTTGCTATGGACAATCTAACACCATTGTTTCATTGAGTAATGAACATGGAGGACCAAGAAAGAACAAATTAAAAAAAAAGTATATAGAAGTAATTCAAAAGGAACTTACAGGCCAAACATGTTGAATAGGTACCTAGCAATTTTGTATCAGTAACAACTCCATTCGACATGCCCAAGGACAAACAAACAAACATATAAGCTCCATTCCAAACAACAACTCTTAAGAATACTTTCTTCTTCATTTTCTTCCGTTTCTAAATGAAATTAGCAAAGCCAAACACGCACAGTGTATAGTTTTAAGTTCAAGAGCATATCATATCTATAATTTTAGTCTTAATCAATCAACAAACACTTAAAACCAAACTATGTAGGTCAAAATTTTACACCAAATAGCTTGTAAGGGAAAAATAAGCCTCTTGATCAAAAATTTGGTTTTAAAATGGAGAGAAATTATTCAAAATCCATTGTCCCAAATTTGAAAGCTATAAACCATGGCGAGAAATTATTCAAAACAGCAAGACCTAAATTAAATTAGGAGTAATATAAGAATCAAACCTTCGCCCTTCATAAAGCCATCGTTGCAACACTGTACACAATTCACATGATTGTCATTGTTGCAACATCCGTTGATATCATAGAAATCATCCCCTGTGTAACAAACACAATGCTCTTCAAGCAATCACCAAATTAAAATCTCTCTCAAGCACATATACAAACACATAGGCTACACACAGAAACACACGAGGCGGGAAATCAAATAAACACTAGATCCACAATGATTAGCAAAGCCACTGGCTTCGGCGGTAGCCAATCCCCTCTCTCTCCCTGACATCATATGTTCAAATGTATTGATTAATACATGCTCAAACACACCATACAACACTCAATTACATCAAACTGGGAAAGTTTTTAAAAAGAAAACAGAGTTAGAGAGAGAGAGAGAGCATACTTGAAGAAGATCAAAGTTATTATTGAATTCTGAAGGTATAAGTCTTGTTATTATTTTGCGGCTGTTCTTTAGAGGTATGCGACATGCGCTTAATTTTCAGAGCACATGGTAACATACAGGTGATGGTAGAATTTCAAAGCATAAAGCAATACAGGAAAATAAAACAACCAAAAAAGTTAGACCAACAAAATAAAATGTGCATATTTCTTTGGCTAATTTTGTTGAACACGTGAGATACAAAATTTTGGCAACTGATTGAACTAATCTGCAATTGAGGTAGGGTGGGATGAGGTAGCGTGAGGTGGTGGTGCTAGTTGCGTAGGCAGGGGGTTGCGGTTGGGAATGGGGTGGGCAGTGGCGCCGTACGAATGGCTCTAACATAGCTGGCGGTGGATGGGTAGCGACTATTGAGAGAGAAAGAGAAAGAACAAAGAGAGAGAGTGTGTGTGAGTGAATGAGTGAGTGAGAGAAAAATATGTACGTGGGCATCGGCGTTGGCTGGGCTGTGACTTTGCTGGTAGAGGATAAGCAACGACACAAAGATTAGTAGAAGAGCGTGTGAGTGAATGAGTGAGATTTGAGATTGGGAGAAGATTTGAGATGGATTTCATGTGATAGAGGCATGATAGATTGGGAGAGGGAGACAAAAGTGAGAGAGAGAGAGGCAGAAGTGAGAGAGAGAGGTGGGCGGAAAAATAAAATTCGGTAATCATTGTACACCGTTAAATCAAAATTTATGAGATGATCTGAACCGTCTTTTATGTTTGAATTATGTTGTCCGTCGGATGTTTTTATGTTTTTACTCAAAAACGATCTAAATTTCTCTTTGTCTCTGGATGCAAACTTAGCTCTACTTTATTATATAGATTATTCTTGAACATTTGTACATCTAAATATATTATTCTATTTTTTGTCAAATAAATTGACTAAATTGTTAAGTATTGTTTGTATTATAGTATTGTGATATTGTTACATACAAAAAAAAATCAAATATGACTGCAAAACTTGGCCAACAACATGTATATAACAATATTATATAGATTGAACTTTATTTGTTTATATAAATAGATATAGATATATAAATTATATGTAAGTGTACTACTAATAAATGACTTCACAAAAATTTAGAAATCAAATACTATTAATGAAAGAGTTTAAACGAGTTTAAAATTCAAAATTAAAAATCAGATGAAAGTAATATGTGGATAGAATTGACTTTTATAAGTAGTATAAAAGTATAGATATAAATATAGATATAGATTTATGTGGGTAAATTAAAAAATCAAAATTTTATTTTGCAGATCCCGACATTTATTAATTATTAATAGTATAGAATAAAAGTATAAATATAAATATAGATATAGATTAAATAAATTGTATAACCTTTTTTAATACTTTCCTTTTTCACAATTTTTGACGTGGAGTAATTTGAAAAAATTGTTCGTGAGGAGTGCTTATAAATGTTGGGTTGTCAGGGTGGCGATTAAGAACGTTGGGTTTGACACGGGCAGGCAGTCTTCTAAGATCTGCCCCATTTCTTCGTCGAAGTAAGCCCTCTACACTAATCATTTAAGATCTTGATTTTTCTTCATCCATTTATGTATATTGGCATACTCATTACACATACGTGGTTTTAGATCTGGATATACGATTGGATCTGAATCGGTTTTTTCTTTGTTTTATCAATTTGAGGTTCGTTTCCGTTGTTGATTTCGTTGTTTCTACGGAAGATCGTGTTGTAATCGAACCGATAAGCAATGATCCGTTAATTTGAAGTGCCATGATAGTTTTGATTCAGGGGACCGTAGATCTGGATCCGAATCGGTTTTTCATTGTTTTATCAATTTGAGGTTCATTTTAGTTATCGTGTTGTAATCGAACTGATAAGCAATCGATGGACCGGTATTTTCTTATTGATCTGTTAATTTGAAAAGCCATTATAGTTTTGATTCCTGGGACCGTAGATCTGGATCTACGATTGGATCTGAATCTGTTATTTCTTTGTTGTATCAATTTGAGATTCATTTTCGTTGTTGCTTTCCTTGTTTCTACGGAGGATAGTGTTGTAATCAAACCCATAAGCAATCGATGGGTGGTATTTTCTTATTGATCCGTTAATTTGAAGTGCCAGTTTTGATTCCTGAAAATGCGTTCCTATTTTTTTTTTCAGTTGTACACCTTGTTTTATATGTGGCCTGTTCTTTATTGTGGTTTTGGTCGATTAAATGTTGTTATTGCTATCAATTGAATTTGTCTTTTGGTTGTCTTTGGAATGGGATTTGAGATGCTGTTTATATTCCATGTCTTGCTTGCGTCTATAGTACAGTTTACTTTGATAAGATTGATTTCTCTCAGGCGATGGTCATGCATGTCATAATTTGTTTGTTATTTATTTGTATATCTGCTAAAAAATCTTCTTTACGAGAGAGGTGTTTTTATATTTATGTTTTTCTTCCTTCTGTTTCTTCCCTATTGTTCTTGTAATTCAAGGTTTATGTGAAAAAAAATGACGTGAAAAATATCTTTAGAATGGGGTTATTTTTCACTAAGATTATATTTCTGTGTCCAACAGACTTTAGAAAAAAGAGATGGGGTTGTCTTTCACCAAGCTTTTCAGCCGGCTCTTTGCCAAGAAAGAGATGCGAATACTTATGGTGGGTCTTGATGCTGCTGGTAAGACGACTATACTGTACAAGCTGAAGCTGGGAGAGATTGTTACAACCATCCCCACAATTGGTATGTTTCTGGTTTTGTGATAAAATTGCAAAGTAGCCCTATTTATTTTTGCGCCTCCATTGGCCTTATGTGGTCTTTTGTTACGTTGCGGTCTTCACATTCTTAATGGACTTATATGGTATAGTAAAGCTACATAGATCAATTCAAAGATGTTTAGCTGAGAAGCATGCACATTTTCACATGGTATTAATGTTGGACACTTTGAACATCGACACTTTTTGGACATATATTCTATGCCTCTCGAATCTTGACAGAATCATATTTAAACGCATAAATATAAGCTTTTGATCGCTCAGCCAACACTTCTTAAAAACTTGTCAACATGTAGCCAACAAAATGAGGCATGGATTTCTTTTAGCATTAAAAATGTATTATTGTTACCAATATATGTATAACTTATTAAGGAAAAACAAGAAACATGAAGATTTATATCAAAAGAGTGGCATGAGAAGATGAAAATAAATATGATTATTTCATATGCTTGCGATACTTTGTTTTTGTCGGCATATATGGTTGTTGATCATTATAACATAGGTCACTATTAATCAATTTATTTGATAAAAGTTCTATCTTCTTACAAACACAAATTTAAGATTTACTTTTTTCTAAGATAATGGTTGTTGTTTGTTTTATAAATTCATATACTCTTGATAAGTTGTACTGAATTAGATGTAAGAGTATGTATTTATTTGTTGTCGTGTAGTTGTCTTATTTGTCTGTGTTTGTTTCATAGTTACAAGAAATCATCATACCCTTGGCGATCCACGATTTAAGTACAACGATCCCAAATGGTGTGGTTCACGATTTAGATCACTTAAATATCTAATCTCAAATTGTAATACTAACCCTAAATCAATTTGTTTTGGAACATGTATCACAAATATAAAATAAATAATAGATGATTATGTGTGTAAGGATGCATAATTATATATATAATTTCAAATAATAGGAAATCGAGCACAAATGTAAGATAAATAGTAATTGACAATGTTTATCTATCTATCTATCTATCTATATACTATTAATAAAAGTACCTTAGCATGAAAAACTTTTGATACATTATTTTACCTGATAAAAAATTTTAAATATTACATTATCCTTTCATAGTTAACTCTCTAAATTACTATTATATCCTTATGTGTTTAAATTTCTAAATTACCCCTAACATCTCTTTTAATTCTCTATTCTTTATGTATAAATATCAATATGTATGAAACTTTCTAAGTGAATATGTTACTCTTAAAAAATAAGTATTGATTGGAATATTGACAAAAATACATAAAGTTAAACCCTATTCTTTATAAGCAATATTGTTATTTTATTCAATGAATTATAAGTTAAAACTTGAATAAAATGAATTTTAAATAAAAGTATCTTAGCATGAAAGACTTTTGATTCACTATTTTACTCTTATAATAACTTTTAAATACCACATTATCTCTCCATAGTTAAATATTTAAATTACCATAGTATACTTATGTGTTTAAATCTCTAAAAGTACTCCTAATATCTCTTTTAATTCTATATGTATAAATATCAATATATATGAAAATTTTTAATGGACTATATTACCCTTAAAAATAAGCATTAATTAGAATATTAACAATTATTGTTATTATATTCAATGAATTATAAGTTGAAACCAATGTTATCGGAGCCAGACCGGTCATCGAACCGCCAAGGGGACCGGGTCAATGGTTCAACCGTTGGGTCAACTGGTCGGACCGGTCGTGTAATAAAAAAATATATATAATAATTATAAAATATAATAATTTAACGAAAAAAATATAAAAAAATATCTAAAATACATATAATTTGTCATAAAATTTATAAAATTAAGTAAAGAAACACTGGTACCAAATATCAATATCAAAGTTTAATTTTAAAGCGCAATAACTATCAAAATTTGCACCTTCACGCAATAACAAATTAGCAAAATAGAACGACACACAACGCAAACAAATAAGCCCTAGAATTCCAGACAATTAACAAGAGCAAACAAATGAGCCCTAGAATTCCAGACAATTGACAATGGCAGCTTAGATTTATGTCTACATGCTCTGAACATGCGAAGAACATATAGCAATAAATATATTTCTAACCTTCGTTAGTATAGCGGATCAATCAATATCTGTTCTCTGATCTCTATGTGTTAATTCTTGTATCAGAGACTTGTCATAGGAACTAATTGCTAAGTTGATAGGCGAAATTCTAATTATTTTTCTGCAAATAGATCGTGATTAGTCTCCAGGAGGGAGGGAGGGACAGAGAGAGAGAGATGAGTGCAAAATCTATTTTTATTCACCGCCTATTGGTTCTCCTGCATGTCCTGAGTTGTCGCTTGAGTAGAAATCTCGACTGGAGTAATAGAAGAGCAGCACTATCGCCTGAGCAGAAATTCGTGGACGCTTGAGCAGCTTTGTCACTTGAGTGCCGCCTGAGCAGTGAGCAGCACCGATCGGTCTCTAGTGATTGCACTTAGGGCAAAATCAAAATGCCCAAACCCAAAAAAAAAAAAGAAGCAGATTTTATGACTTCAAACTGTCCGGTTTTCTCCAAAAATCGTCCGGTTTGGCGATTTTTACCCGATTCTCTTTCTTATGCGGTTTAATTAGCCAACCGGACCGGCTAAGGTCCTCGGTTCACGGTTGAACCGGTCCGGTCCGGTTCTGATAACACTGGTTGAAACCTAATCAAATGAATTTCAAAATGAATTATTTTTATCTTTTTTTCTTATAGTTAGGCCAACGAATCATTGGGAATAAATAAATTTTTTTTGAATTCTATAGTATAATATGAGCGATAAAAACATAATTTTTATAAATTTAAGATGATATTTAATTTAGGTACACATATCCCTAAAATTTTTTATATATGAAAATTATTTACGTGCAACGCACGTGGTGTATTGCTAGTAGATTTATTGCTCTATATGATTTCATATAGTAGTAAAGCGATCTATATAAGGGTTCCAAACGAATTGCGACCATGAAAACCTTACTAGCTAAGCATATTTCCATCCCATCATATACCTAAGAAAGTTTCGTACTATGTATTGTACCTGTACTACAAATAAGGTAACATTGGTCTGAAATTGGGGAAAAAATAAAGAGAAAAGAAGTATAAAGAGGGTGGGTGGAAATCATGCATGGATAGTCCTAAAACTAAGGGGTTTGCTTCAAACTATGGTCTATTTTCTGGACCACCGGTGTAGTTTACACTTCATATCATATTGAATAACTGTAAAAGACTCAAAAGCACATTCATTTCACTGCTGGCTTTTACCTTTATTATGTTGTGATTCTATTATTTCGAATTTGAATATTTTACCTGTATACTTCCCAAATAGGTTGATTCCTATGCATATAAATGCTGTCCATTTTCTCTGAAGATACTGGCTTTTAAGTATATATATGATTGAAGCCTCCAAACTTAAACTTTGGCAATTGGAACTCACTTGCTGTGTTAACCAGGATTCAATGTGGAGACAGTGGAATACAAGAACATCAGCTTTACAGTCTGGGATGTTGGTGGTCAAGACAAGGTACATGACATTTTAAGCCAAAGGTTATTGTTTCCCCTATTTGGGTTGTGGAATTTTGTTTTTCCCTTGAAGCCATGATAATCTTCATGAGATTACATTGGGGAAGTAACTAGACAGATCAATGGTATATCTTATTGCCTGCTCTGAGCATTTCATGTATTTGAACTTGACTTTATCTAAGTAGTTCTAGTATATTGTGCCCTTTGATTTCTAATTATTATTTTAATGCCCCAATCTAGCCTTGATTTTAAACATTCTGAATCAGTCACAGAAAGTTGTTCCAATTGTATTTTCTTCTTTGAATGAGGAAATATGCTAATTATTATGAAGATAATTGTTGATTTTTTCTTACCCCAAGATAAATGTAGATGAGTGGCTATGTTTAACAAAAAAAATTTCCATCACCTAGTCATTAAAGAAAGGAGAAAAGGCATACATGGGGGATGGGGGTGGTGGAGGTCCACTGTTCTCAGTTTCTATGCGGCGATTCAGTTGCAATTTTCTTGTTTCTGTTTTGTATCACATGAGAGGTTGGGCACATGCACCTTAAATAGTAAGAACTGGTTATGAGGTTTGTCATAATTCTGTTGCCCAAAAGGTGTCATTCGTGCACCTTCCTTTTGATTTTTCAGTTACTGTGGATACTGTCCTTGCTCTTTGTTCTTTTTTAGTGGTGGATGCTCCATTTTGTGTTAAATATTGCCGTTTGTGGAGAGTTGTGTAGGTTGTAAAATTAAGAGCATTTGTTCAGATATGCATCAGTTTCAAGCTTGAGTGTAAATGATCCAAACATGTCATTTCTATGTTGTTTCTTTCCAGCTGCACAGAATGAGTTTACTTGCATCATGAGTAACATTTCATGGCATTTTTTGTTTGTTTTCTCTTTTCCTTTTTTTTTTTTTTCCTATTATTCTTCTATGTTTATGGATATGGATTGTATGTGGAGTCATTGTTCTCTTAGAAGAGTAAGGGGTTGTTTGGCAAACGTTTTTGTCCCGTGTTTTGTGTTTTTGTTTTCAATTTTTGTCAAAAATGAAAACAAAAATATGTTTGGTAACTGTTTTTAGTTTTGCTTTGTTTTGTTTTTGTTGTATTGGAGACAGAGACAAAAAAATGAGAACAAAAAATTTGTGTTTCAAGAAACACGCAAAACACAAAACACGTGCTTCTTGATTAAATGAGGTCTCAACTTTGAGTCTTGTTACGCACAAAAGACTCGTTTATTTTCTCAAAGTATAAATAGGGTTATTTTTTTCTCTCTTCTCCTCCACACAGATTGACTATCTCTCGTCTCCACTCTCAACGACTCTCTCTTCTTCGGAGCTCTAAACAACGAAGACGAACTGACTCTCTCTTCTTTGGAGTTCTCAACGACGAAGACGAACCGATGGTGCTCTGCCAACGAAGACGAACCGAAACCCTCTCTTTCTCTTGCTTGCTATCTATGAAACCCAGAAACGGAGACACAGATCTGTGCATATTTACAAAGATCTGTGTGTGTGTGAGAGAGTGACAGGTCTGTGTGTGTGTGTTTTGTGTGTGTGTGAATGAGTGAGTGACGACCCTATGTGTGTTTTATGTTGCTACACAGATCTGTGCATGTGTGTGTGTGTGTGTTTGTGTGTGAGAGATAGATGAGTGTGTGTGTGTGTATTATGTTCTATGTGTATGTGTGTTGTGTTTGGATTAATTGCCGATTGAAATGTCATTTGAAATTGTTCAATTGCGATTTAGAAATTAATTATCATTTGGGATTGATAGAATTGCAATTTGGGATTGATTGAATAGTTATTTGGAATTAAATTACTATTTGGAATTGATTGAATTGCTGATTGAATTATAAAACATATTTAGGATAAAACATGAAGTAGTTACCAAATATGTTTTTTGTTTTTTATTCTCATAATTTGATAGATAAAAATGACAGCCAAACATGTTTTTTGTTTCAGTGTTTATCACAAAACAGAGACAAAAATTGTCTCTGTTTTTTATTGTTTTGAAGACACGAAAACGGAAATTTTACCAAACGACCCCTAAGTTTCCTGTGATTTTGCATTGGATTTGTGGGGCAGGCTTAATTTTGCTCTTTACGAGTGATCTTATGTATTTAAAAGGATTCAGATTTCTGAAGTTTGAATTTACTGATTCTAATATATTGAACATTCTGATTTTGGGGCAACACCAGATTCGACCTTTGTGGAGACATTACTTCCAAAACACTCAAGGGCTTATTTTTGTGGTCGATAGTAATGATCGGGATCGTGTGGTTGAGGCAAGGGACGAGCTGCACAGGATGTTGAATGAGGTAATGAGATAACCCAACAATTACTTAGTCTCATTTCCCCCTTGGCAATATTCTGTGTCTACAGTCACAGGAACAAATCATGATTGAAGTCAGGTTGCATTTGGCCTTGGGGACTAGAACTAAGAAATGGTTTATAAAATATATGGATTAGCAGAAATTGATGAAATTGTGGAAACTATATTATTTTGGCGATGATGATCATCTTTAGACCTACTAATGTTACTTGCTTGACACTTAATATACACATTGATTTATTACTCCTCATCCTAATTATGTACCATCACTGCCATCATAATGGTACGTGCTTTGATTGAACAGAATAAAACTAATCTAAGGCTAAAATGACTCTGCTTCTGAGTTTAATTGGTTGCTAAAATGGTTTAGGTTTAGGATTTTATAATGGTGTATATTTACATATCAGATAAAAATTAATATTGATATTGATTTTGTTTGATGCCTGCAAAGGATGAGTTAAGGGAGGCTGTGCTCCTTGTATTTGCAAACAAGCAAGATCTTCCTAACGCCATGAATGCTGCTGAGATCACTGACAAGCTTGGTCTTCATTCTCTCCGCCAACGTCACTGGTAGGTTTGCTATAAAACATCTCTCTCTCCCTCTTTGTGATTTCTAGTCCACTTGTGACAACTGTTTTTGTGCATTGCTTGCAGGTATATCCAGAGCACATGTGCCACCTCAGGTGAAGGGCTGTACGAGGGGCTGGACTGGCTCTCCAACAACATTGCTAACAAGGTAGGCTTACCTGGTTGCGTTAGAATTGCAGGCAATATATGCTGGATTCATTATGATCTAAATTGGTTACCATATGTTTTAATAATTCTGCTTTCTCTGGCAGGCGTAGGAGATTGCGTGATCTTCAATGAGTTTTGAGCTCAATCTATGTCAAAAAGGAGACTTCATGTCTTTTTTTTTTTTCCTGGATTTTCTTGTTTGATTCATCTTCTCCAAGAATGATCTGATTTTCCCATTTGCTTTGCGGTCATATGATACAAGTTGGCATTTATCTTTGTTGATGCACAGTAATTCCTGTTTTTTTCTGCACCCTGTGTTAAATATTATTTACGTGGCATTATTATCTACATTAGGTAGAGTAAAGCGGAAACTATTGTACGGAATGCATGATCAAATTGATAGATTTTATTTTTGCAAATTTTTGTATTCAATGGTAGAGTTGGTTCTGATCCAATATGATCTGAATAGTCTGTGATCTCAGTTTTAGTATAGATCAACTGTTTAACTTGTTGCAATTTTTAGTCCATCACACTAGAGCCAAAAAAATGCCAGATTGTGGGTTCGAAGTAGAGGGCTGCTACTTTCTGTGAATAATGTCAAATGATGGGTCTGCATCAAATTTGTCCTACTACCATTTTTCAATCCCCTTGATTGAAGGGCATCAAAATTTGATAAATAGAGTTTCAGAATACTGGAGGGGAAGAAAGCAGTGTGTATAGTTACTCTTTCCATTGGAGGTCAAATATAAATTCTAAACTGGTAGGAAGGAGTTCTCAGGTAGCAGAGAAAAGGTTGCCTGGGAAGGTGTACATGCTAGCATTTCTTTCTATGGGATCGGTTGAGTAGTGATCTTGATATCCATATACTAATAAATGTTTGGTTCAGGTACAAAAAAGAATGGGATTGTAGAATAAATTCCAATCCAAGCCTTTCCAATTGTATTATGGTATATTATTTAATCCAGTAACATGTAAACCATGTTTGGATCAAGGTTAGGATAAAGTGTAGGTTTATTATTATACCAGTAATATCATATTTGGATTAAGTAGTAAAATATAGTATTAAATTGAAAATGACCACAATAAAATTTTTAGGAAGAAAAGTTTTGTCAACATACTCTCAATTGTCACAAGTCCAAATAAATCCATTCGATTATTTAATATTTCAGCGACACTTTCTATTAGTATTTATTGACTAGCAAATGTAACGACAATACATACATACATACATACATAATAGAAAATTGATCTAGAACACACTACTTGAAAATTTCTCTAACTAGAATTTTCATTAGGTGGAATACTTTAATTACATACTCTAATTTTTTTTCTCAATCAATCACAATAAAATAATACATTTATATTTATCATAACATGTTTGATACATCAAATTCGTTTAATATAAAATGGCTAAAAAATAATGTATATTGTGTATGTATATAAAAATGACTCAGTATCACAATTGTAAAGGTTAATTACGATTGTGTAAGTGAAAAACTACCAATTATCTATTGACTATCTAATATACTTATTCGATAAACTTTTTTCCAAACATTATCACTTGAGATATAAAAATAGTAAAGTCACTAAACTAAAATTTAAGAACCAAACCAAGTAAAAAATTTAAAATTTAAGTGACATATAATAAATGTTGCAATTAATTGTCAAACAAAAATAGAGACGAGTTCTCATAGAAAAATAAAAGTCAATTAAATGTTTATTGTAAGTATTTTCTCTTTCAAACAAATAAATAAAATTAAAAAAATATGAAAATGAATATTAAGGTCACACGTAGAATGCCGTAATTCAATAAAAATGACTAAGCAATTAAAGTAAGAAAGTTATAGGCGAACAAAAGTAAAAAATATTTGTACAATTTTTAAAATACGTAAGTATAAATAGACATATAATCTTTTTTTAAAAAATTTCAAGGTGAGCCAGTGCTCACCCTAGAACCCCGTGCAGCTCTGCCAGTTGAACTACGAACCCAAATGTTTCTTCAATCTCATATTATGAATTTCTTTAGACATTTGATAGCCTACAATGACACTATCTTTTTACACCTTTATATTTCGTTTGGTACGATAAAAAGTTAGAAGGATGAAAAATTAGAGGGATAGATAAAAATTCATATTTGGCAAAGAATGAATATATCAATGATGGAAAAGTAGATGAATAAACTTTGTTTCCAACTCTCCAAAATCAATCTTTTGAAAGTGAATGAAAAATTAATTATGTGTGTTGAAATGTATGTTATTTGTCTATTTGTTTATATATCTTTTGGTACAAACATACTAGCGATGGACCCGTGCCCGAAGGCGCTTTGTAATATAGAAAATTCACTATTTTGAAATACAATTGAAGAAACCGTAATCTAGATTCATAAAGTTTAAGGAAATAATACAAATCAAATAGAAAAAACTTCAAATAGTTTATTTCAATTTTACAGTAATCACATGAATGGAAATGAAGCTTACTTCCCATGAAATCATGTCCGAATTTTCCCTAGGTGGTTGACAAAAAAAAATAAAAAAATTTCTATGAAAATAGCATTTTGCGCTTAATCATGTCCCAATCCCATGAAATCATGTCCCAATCACATAGCATTTTGCGTTTAATCAACACCTGTATGATCAAATTCATAATTAATTAAATAAATTTGGCCAAAAATTTCACATCACTTAAAACAACGCCACATAGAGATTTTGCCAAAAGGAAGAGTTATCCAATATCAGTATGTACTTTAAATATCAAAACTGCACAACCAATATTAAATTACTTTAACTAAAATCAAACGTAAATTGTTAGCTTGGATTGGATTAAAATTGACTAATGTGGGTGTACTTGATTATTCAATCCCTTGGCATGGTTTGGTTTAAAGTTGATTGATGTGGGTATATTTCGATCAGGGTTGGAACTATGGTATGTTCACTTTTCTTTTTAATGGTTTATTCGCTTTTCACTTTCTTACTAATTATGCTTCAGACATCATCCATTAATTTTAAGTGTTGCAAACTGAAAGAAGTGTTTTAGTTGTTTATACAGTATACTACATAGACAATGCAGAGTATGTGTATGACTAAGTTTCTTAGTTTTAATTTTTCAAGTTACTTGAAAATGATCCATGTTATGCACGACGAGCAATGACAGCCGAACATTACCTAAGTTGGTGCGAAGGGAAACTTTTTTTTTTTTGAAAGTTGGTGCATAGAGCTTGCGTAAAATTGTTTTGTTTTAGAACTATTAAGGAAGCTTTGCCCAATCTCTAACCCCTGCATCAAACAAACCATTTTGGTATTAAGATGCATTGTGCTATCAATTGAGGCACTTATCATTACTACGATTATGTTTTCGATTTCTTTGAAGCTTCAAATAATTGTGTTTTTCTGCTCATCAATGTTATTGTTGTCTTTATATGTTTGACGTTGATGTTATCTATCGGTATGTTCCAAGATTATGTTTTCCTACAAATTCATGACATCAACATCAACAACAATATAAAGACTGAAACATGATCTTGGAACATACCAATGGATTCTCATATTTTCCATATCTATAATTTTTCGTGTCACATAGAGCTTTTCAAAGTTTGTTCCTTTTTTTACCTTAGTTAGTCACCATTAGAGATTTGTTGTCACCCATTTTAATACAGAAATGTAGGCCTGGTCATCCATGAAGAGCGTGACAACAAATCTCTATGTGAAATTGATATGATTATGAACTTTTTTTGGTTAGGGACTTTCACTGCGCACACCAGTATTTATATTGTTGCAATGATTGAATTTTTTTTTTTTTTTTTTTTATGTGGCATGATTGTGAGTCCAGTAATTGAAGTTGCGTTGTAATTGTAACATATAGTAATTATCTATACAGGTTGATATTTTCTTGGGGCCTTGTTTTTAGGAGAAATTCTGTTCAAATTTTTTAAAAGAACAAAGACAAATTATTTTGATTAAATATTAGTGAATTTTTTGTTTAGCATAACATATTACCTTCAGGCACATACATTTCTTCTAATGACATAGGTTTGTGGAACCCTCTAAGTTGACTTTTGATTAGGAAGATTAGCAAATGCGATATCAAGCTCATTATATCAAGTTGGGTCCCCCATTTAGTCTATGGGCATTTGCCGTGCCAACTCTGATGTGAATGCTAGGATATTTCATCATAGCTTCGGATTCTATGACCAGCACAGGGCGTTACTACGAGTTTTAATTAGGTATATAATTTCAAGTATACGAATTTTATGGATTTTCAGTTTAACTTTATGAATTTTTAATTATTAAAGTTGTGTTATCTTTATTTCTTCATTAAAATTGTTCTTCACGAGAATCTTCAAATATGTAATACTTTATTGAGTATAATTTTTACCATAATTACATTTTTTTTTTTACCATAGTTGTGTTACCATAATTTTTTTGTTCTTCCTTTTTTAATAGTTTTGACAGCTTCGTTTTTTTAAAAGATATTTTAATGTAAGCAACCTCGCATGTAAGTTGTTTGTTACTGGTTCATGGGTTGGCCAAGAAGATGAATCCTTGGTCACTATTTTTTTTAGTGTTGCTAGGGGCGTGGCTAAGTTATCCATGGATACTGTTATAATGCCCGAAAAAAAATAGGCCTGAAATTCGATAGGCCCGATAATTGGCCCGCTCGAGCCTAATATCCTTAAAAAGAGGACTTGAGTTTACCCCCAAACTCATTACTTGGCCCGAAGTGCGGTCCAATAGCCCGCCTGAAAAAACCTATTAAAACCCGACACAAGAGCCCGCCCACCTTTTCATTGGAGAAAAGTTATACTCTTAGACCATTAAATTTGAAATTTTGAAATAAGTCTCCCAATGTCAAAATTTGAAGTTTTAAAAATTTAGATACTATAAATAATGTATTATTTTCTTTTTCATTTACTAAGGATACAAGTTTTAAAGGGTAGAGTAATACAAATGATAGATAAGTGAGTAGGTGCCAACTTAGTTGTGATGTATTCATTTTATTAGATGTAGTTCATTCCCTAATCAAAAATAAAATTATTCATTATTTTATTTTTATTAATTTTGACTTTACTTCTGATTCAAAAATATAATTTACACAAATATTAAGTTACAAAAATATTCATTATTTTTAAATGAAGTTGTATATAAAAAAGTTCGCGAACAGGCCCACCCTACAAGTCTACCCACAAGGCTTGCGAGTTTAGCTGAAAGTAGCATATCCTTACTCGAAGCCCGGCCCGACCCATTTGATAATTCATTTGGGTAAGGGCTTGAGTCTAAACTACCCAGGCCTGGCCTTAAAAAAATTTCACTGGCCAGCCCGGGCCATAGACACCCCTAACTGTTGCTGCCATTCCTTTTTTTCTTTTCTAATTCTTGTTTTTTAATTATCATTATGTGCTTAGTTTGTGCTTTTCGTTGATAGTCATGCATGATACCTTCTTTTTT